GACCTGGGATGCTATCTGTGTGGATTTGGTATTTTCTCCCCATATTTGCATGGTTTTCCCCTGGGTGCCCATTTCTCTCACAGTCTAAAGACATACTGGTAGGTTAACTGGGTTCTGGTAACACTGGCCCTGGTGTGAGAGTGTGCTAGTCTGTGTATGCGTGTGACCTGTGATGGCATGGCATCCAGACCAGGGTGTATCCTGCCTTGCGCTTGTTGATTGCCGGGATAGGCTCTGACTCCTCAGCAGTTAGAAAATGGATGGATGTCTGGATATTAGAGTCTATAAAGAATGGCCATCAGAATTTCAAGAGCTGTGCAGAAATCTCAGACTAGCTGTAGTTAAACTGACCAATTAGTTGTGCATGGTATCTGCCAGACACTGTGTTTTTTAGCTGAAATGCCTAAGATTAAGCTTTATTAGAAGTCTCATTGTCATTGTGTTAGTTTATAATCCTTTATAAAAAAAAACAGATAAAGGGATATAACAAGCCTGGATATCACTGATATCTTGCTATGAGGTCATACCGCATTGATATCTATCTGATGGACAATGTGGTATGATTGTATTCCCATGGTGCTTTAATCCTTTCTTCACAACGTGCCAATGTTTTTCTGCTCATTTAAATGGTCTGGTTTGACAGTCCACTCAGCAGGTACTAGAAAAGTGGAAGGATTTACTGTATATAACTCTGCATTTACATAATAGACAACTCTTTTAAAAAAAAATCAATAAAGTTGGCAATATTCTAGGGATTTCTTGAGAACAAGGACTATGGGCTGTTTGGGCCATCTTTAGACAGCTATTTAATTGCGAGGTGGCAGGAAAGAGCCTATGCTAATTTTTACTACAGATTCGACACTGTGAGACTCCAAAACCCCTCATCACGGTGCTCACCACAGTAAGTTCAAAATTCAAACTGACGGGCTTCTGTCTTACTCTGATTCAACTACAGTTCTCGCATGAGAATGTCTGGCTTACCAGCTGTATGATGTTGGAAACACTCTGCCAGTTCGCCAACTTAATGTTGTCACCCCCATCCACCAGCCCCTGGTAACCCTGCAGTGCGACAGAGACAATTTGTTTGAATGCCAGTTAATAGATCTGTGAAGTCAAGGCATGAGTTGCATATAAAACAATAAGTACAGCATGTGACTCCAGTTAAGTACAAATGTATACAAATCAGACAAAGTGGTATATTGAAGACTGCCATTAAAGAACCAGAGGGGAAACAACGACATGGAAATAAACCAAAGTCTTTGAAACTCAAGTTCATAAAATAAAAAGAAAGAAAAATCAAGATTTAAACTACTGTTAAATGGGCAAAGGAGGAATTTTATTTTTCAGAGCTATTAGACTTATTATGACATACTAAGAAATACCTTTAGGCCTGTCATGTCTTTTAAAATATAGTCCATATTAATCGTGGAAATAAATATAAATTATATTTTGGCAAAACTTTATTCATATTAATTAAAAAAATTAATACAAAGTGATACATTTTTGTGTAATATCATCTTAACAATAACATTAAGAATAACATATTAAGCTTTAAACTTTAACAATCCAAATATTAGCATAACCCCAATGGGTTCGAATGAAACAGTGCAGTAATATCAGATTCAAGAAAACTCAAATTAATCTGCATCCAAACATGGCATTCTTGCACCAATGATGAAGCCCCTATAGAAGTTATAAACCATGAAAAGACCTTTACACCACTTAACAAAAAAAACATACCTCATAAATGAGATAGACCTTGGCTCCTACAAATATTCCCATCCGTGTTACAGCTCGGACAGCTGCATTCATCCCTGCAATGACAAAAAGATACGTTATGTCTGTACCTGAAGATGTTTGGTCACAAGAATGACAGCTTGAGACACATTTACCTTTTTTTTCAAAAATTGTTAACAATAACTACTAGTGTTACAAGAACCACCAAACGTCTAACTGAGTTCCTTAAGCCCTCCCCCCTTAATTCATTTCTCTGTCTCCTCTGCTGTATAGTGGGGATGCTGGTACATAATGGCTATCTTATGTCACCCGGTCGGTGAATAAAGTCAGTTGACTCCTATATATAAAGGCCACTGGGATCGATTGGGATGAAAGGCACTAAATACTGTATATCCAAAGAATCAATTACTGAAAAATAAGGTGCTAAGTATGTTGCATAAAACATTTAAAAGAGGGGAACAAAGTGTGGAGGGAGGGCAGTGATGTCATTTAAATGTAATAGTATTAAGAAACAGTAAAGATACTCCTACTCGAGAGAGAGCATTCTGTACACCAAGTGTGAACATGAGATGACTAGAAGCTTTAACAATCACGTTAATAAGATAAATCATTTCAAAACTGACAAGTGCCATATCCAACAGCTTAGGCTGGGGAGCCCAGACATCCTCAGACTATCAAAAAATTATTTTAAAGAATGCTGTAGTTAAGCCATTCTGATATCAGACGTGCAGGATAAACCCTATAGTTTAATAGATTTGTGAGATATGTGTCCCACAGAAAGTATCGCACTCAGTTCTTTTTTTTGCCCTTGCCAAGATGGCCAGCTGGACCTGTCAGCCATGTTATGGGCGCTGCTGGCAATCCAGAGCAGGGAGATGGTGTGCCCTCACACAGTCTTTATTAGACGAATATTGGCAGTACAGTGTGGTGAGTGGAAGGGAGTGAATTGCAGCCAACCAAACGATGTACTCTGTGTGGGACTACGGCCAGGAGGCACCACACCCTGTGTGGGACTGCCATGTAGACTGTGTGAGTAACCACTACTGCCCGGCTTGGTAGTAAAGAGCTATATGAATATGAGTTAGCAAGGAGTTCAACAAAGAGCTAAATTTTCATTTTGCTTATTTTGTTTTGATGGTGGCTAGTGTTTTCCTCAATGATGTAAAAAAAAAAACAACCTCAAAATAAACTCTGAACTTTATGGCTTGTGCTGGGGTTTGTCTGTTGCCCAGAAAGACACCTACACAAGCACATTGCTGTTTACCACTCCAAACGGCATCACACAGTGCATATTTAGTTTTAAATATATTCATACCAGCATGCAGGAAAACTCTATGGTAACATTCAACACTTCACAGACTCTTCTTTTGATTCCACACAGCATTTCAACATCCAAATATTAAATCTACCAATGAAAAAAAAAGGAGCTGAATGCCTGCATCTGTGCCTCTGTAAGGCACTTTTCAGGGCAACTGTTTCCTAGCAACCAGTTGAGGTCAGATTGGTAAATGCAAGACAAAATGGACAACGTCTAAAGGAAGTGAAGGACGCATGAACAAAACAGCTGATGTACCAAAATGTCTAGAGAAAATCAGAATGTGAAACTCAGTTCTTTTTAGTGTAAATGACAGCTCTAACAGACCTCTTACAGCATGAATTTGATCAGATCAGAGCCTTTAGCACAAACAAGCAATAACTTGTTCTTTACTTGCCCACAGATAAAAAGAGCAAAGCTTTCATTAACTATTAAATACCTGTGAACTGGATAGGAGAAGCTCCATACTCTGGATCACATACAAAGTCTTGTATCCATTGTAACAAGAAATAGCTAATTGAAGTGGTTTAATGCCAATAAAAGACACTTTAAAGTTAATTAGGTCTATGCATTGATGTATTCTTTACTGAGATAATTCAAACGAACAGACGGTGTGACTTATGCACAGATAAAATAATCATAAAGAGAAAACCCAAAGATGACATGTAGCAATCCAAACAGTAACCTAGTAAGATTGTACAATATAAAGTATATATTACTAATTTCTGTATCTGTTTATCCCTCCTTCTCTCCGTCTTTCATAATTTAGAATTTTAAATCTAAAATCCAGTGTTTGCCAGTCTGAGAATCGTTTGTCCCCCCCACTCTCCATTTTACATTCTGCAAAAGTCCTGACTGTGGGCACGTACAGGGGAACTCCCCTCGTGCTGTACGTCACACGATAGCGCAGGTTGATGTAGGACACCATGTGAGAGTTAAATGGATTAAATGGAGCCGAGGGGTGTACGATATCTCATCAACATTTTTTTAATAAGTTTTAAAGGAGACAGTAAAAAGTGTACGTACTGTTAAGTGCAGGACGACGTAGCCAACCCCAATATAAATGTGCACTTCTCAAAAATATTTTATGCCACAAACGCATGTGCACACTAAATAAACTAACAAAAAGCTAATAGAATACTTGCTAAATAATGTATGCACACATAAAATTCCCAAATTATAAAACATAAATTAAAATGCAGCCTTAAGTTATGCAAAATACAACTACGCATACGATCAATTGTATCGATTGTGTGTCTCATGGAGAGCAAGCTGGAGTATGCGAAAAGACGAATTCCTAATGCAAGATATTGTTTTGGGCTAATAAAGTGATGTTATAAACTGATTCATAAAATGATTGCGTACAGATGTTTTAAATGTTATGGTAATGAATACAAAGCATATAATTTTTTACCTATTAAGTGTGATTCATTATTTTATCATCAGCAACAGGAATATATATGTCCTTAGGTGATGAATTTGTACCGACTCATCAGAGGCGCTGGAATCTATTATTTATTTTTCAAATAGCTCGCTAAACAACGCAGATTTGTCTACCTTGAGCATCTCCCCCACTAGTTAGGACGGCAATGGCTTTTCCAGCCCCGGTCATTCGCAGCTTCTCCAGGTCCATGATGATAAAGGAACGACTGGAATCCTAAAACAGCGAAATAAAAAAAAAATGCAACCAATTTTCTGCTGAAATACAGCAGCTTCTTGCTATTCTCAGCAGGACGCACAACCAAGTGACCTTTGCTGTAATTGCTAAAGTCTCCCCCTCTGAAGCTAAACAACTCCGCCCTCTATCAGGATTGTATGTTCCGGAGCAGTAGAAAAGATTGGTTCCTTTTCCTCCTAAAAGCTTTTCTCCCATTCCCTGGGGGGAGGGGGGGGATTGGGGAGTCCGAATGTTTTTTTTTAAACATCAAAAATAGAACAAGCAAAATATAAAATAATGAAACAGATGTGCTTTACTAAAACATTCGTGGAAATAGGCTACACCAGATGACGGAATGCCCATAGGACTATAATGAGACAGAAAGAAAATAGCTATAGAGTATAATCCCAAAATTAAATTTTACCATCATAAATACCTTTGCTAATACATATCCGAATTGACACAATAAATCTGGGATGATAGTTCTTTTCTATGACAGAGCAAGAATACCGAAAATAGGGTAAAAACGTTATCCTGATATTCCAAACTCAAATAATTAAAACTACGTTTTAGAAAATGTATGTATTGCACTAATATACAGTACAAAAATATGTTTTGTATTAGAATATTTACTTTAATTTAAAAATCCCATTTTACAATCCTAAAATCCCTCAGATCAAGAAAAGGTTATTTTCCTTGGAATGTGAAATTGAATTACAAATCATGTTTCATCATACATTTTTATCAAAAAATATTTTTAAAATAGTGGTTAAGGCTTTTGATTCTTGCCAAGTCATGTTAATGCTTCACTTACTGTTACTAATACTTTGAAATGTGTCTAAACAGAGCTAGCAGTGATTTTGGAATTTGAGCCATTATTGGTGTACTGTAGATCTTAAAAATATTTTTTCTAAGTGTCTACACTGCTCAACATTAAGATTGAGTTTTTTTTAGTATCGGGCAATCTTAATTTAGTGACCTGATACAACAAAAACAAGGCAACATGAAGAAGAACAAAAGACAATTGAAATTTAAACTATTTACAACTTTGCCAATGCTTGTAAAAATAAAGCACAGTAAAGGCAAAATAAGTATTTATAAGTATTCAGTAGCCATATCACCCTGCAACTCACAACTGGCAGCCCACTGAAGCTACGTAAGCAGGTGTGAGCCTGGTCAGTACCTGGATGGGAGACCTCCTGGGAAAAACTAAGGTTGCTCCTGGAAGAGGTGTTAGTGGGGCCAGCAGGGGGTGCTCACCCTGCAGTCCATGTGGGTCCTAATGCCTCAGTATAGTGACGGGGACACTGTACTGTAAACAGGCACCGTCCTTTGGATGAGACGTAAAACTGAGGTCCTGAATCTCTGTGGTCATTAAAAATCCCAGGGTGTCTCTCAAAAAGAGTAGGGGTGTAACCCCGGCGTCCTGGCCAAATTTCCCCATTGGCCCTTACCAATCATGGCCTCCTAATAATCCCCCTCTATGGATTGGCTACATTACTCTGCTCTCCTCCCCACTGATAGCTGATGTCTGGTGAGCATTCTGGCGCACTATGGCTGCCGTCGCATCATTCAGGTGGATGCTGCACATTGGTGGTGGTGGAAGGGAGTCCCGATTACCTGTAAATCACTTTTAGTGGAGTGTCCAGAAAGGCGCTATATAAGTGTAAGCAATTAATTATTATTATTATTATTATTATTATTATTATTATTAAACATCATCTGCATAAATGCTTAGATATCCTAACATACAGTACTTATTAGAAAAAGTATGGAGGAGGAGTCTCAGTTATTTACATATTAGTCTATTTAAGTCTTCAACAAGAGCACTCGACACTCCTGTATATTGGTTGGAAGCTTTTTGTTTGTTCTGACTGTGGAGCATTCTTGATGGAAGCTTGCCTGGTTTGTAATGCATATTCTATAATTTGGTAGTCTGCTTTACTTTTTCTTCTGTCTGTATTTCATAACCTGTAAAACATTTTCTTGGAGAAACACCTTTCAGTTTAAATACTCAACCATAGTGAGTACATACTTCTCATATTGTTTTTTCCTATCAGTTTTTAATGCCAGAGACTAAAAAGTCAACATTCAATGGGTCATAAAAGTAAGCTGTAGAGTGATGTGAGTTCTTTTCTTCATGCCTCCATGGCTTGAATATGGTATTTATTTCTTTCTGCTTTTTAGTGTGGAATTAACTTCTACTTGTTCCCCTGCAGTTGCATGCTGACATGGCTCCCACTTGTACCCTGGCATTCAATTCATCATCCAATAAGTATAAACATCTATTGTAACAGCAAAACATTGCCGACAGGTACTATGTAAGAGCCGGCGTACCAGAGCAGGTGATGTCACCGCCCTACCCTGTAATAGCAGGATTACAGCTACTGGGCTGTAGAGAGATCTCTCTTTGGCTCACTGGGCTGGGTCCAGAGAGATGCGGGAGTCCCAGGTTCAAGCCCCCTACAGTGGGGGGCTGACCTAATGCAGTAAGGGCGCCCGCCTGAGCCCCTGTTGCGTTACATTTGCATAGAATGTCCAGTGTCTCTATAAGGTTGGTGCTTTTGTCTTTCCTTGTTCTGGGGCTTCTCATTGAGCAAAGGTTCTTGCTCAGACACTTGAGAAATTGTTGTGTTTTGGAGATACGTTTGTGTGATGGGAAGATTAATAGACTTTAATAAATTGACTATTCTAAAGGATGAGTATCTTGTCTGGGTTGTGGGTGCACTTATGGTTCTGGGAGATAAAAAGAAACCTGTTGCAGGCAGAAAAGGCTTCCATAAGGCTTAAAATTCTTAAAATTACTAGATGGTGTAGTTGGGTAAAAAAGCTAAAATTTCCATGCATTTAGGAGCCATCATCTGTTACACCATCTTTTGGCATGGTGTTCACTTTCTTATCAACATTCTTACCAGTGATGCAAGATTTAGTACCGACCTTTGCATTCCAAAAGTGGGTAAGTGTACTGAACTTGTACATGATGTCTTTTTCAACTAGTATAGATAGATATTTACAATTTTGGTTTCAGAGTCCAACCTGCAAATACCTTATCCTGTGTTGTTGGCAACTGTAGGGTGATTTTTTATGGTATGCACACTAGACATTTTGAGTGAGTTTAACAGAATTCGCTTTAAAGGACTTTAGATTTAATGGAACAATTTGCTAAAGGGGAATTTTGTCTATAAAATCAGAAATACTGTACTTTCTCCACAATAATGGGCAAAGTTTTATTCTTAAAAATAGAGCAAACTAGTGGAAACAAAAATATAAATGAGTTGTAAAATACATTTAATGTAAAATATTCTAAAGAATTGGCTTTATTACTCTGTTCTCCTCCCCACTGATAGCTGGTGTGTGGTGGGTGTTCTGGCGCACTATGGCTGCCGTCGCATCATCAAGGTGGATGCTGCACATTGGTGGTGGTGGAGAGGAGTCCCCATTACCTGTAAAATGCTTTGAGTGGAGTGTCCAGAAAAGTGATATTTAAGTGTACAGTGATTCCATGGCTATCAATTGTACTCTATAGGAGAAGGTAAATTGTTTTGTATGCTTCAGTTAATTTTTTTAAATAACTAAAAAAAAACACTAAAATGTTAATAATATATCAAGATCTCTGTAAAATGTACAAGTTATAAAATAGTGTAAAGATTAATACTACTGTACATAGGCTTAAAATTCAGGAATATTAATGGTCCCCTACAGAGCTAGGTCATTTGCATACTTTGGGTGTTGGTTATGTTTCATATGCTTAAGCAACACATGAAATAAAGAGCTTGTATATTTATTATAAAAGTACAGAAGAACAATTTTCATTCACTGTTTTGATCAAAATTATTTAAAAAATACAGTAAGTCAAAAGATCCAGGTATATTTTTTTCTCATATACTGTAAGAGTGTTTTGGGGCTGAAATAAAATGTTGTACATGTTTTAACAGACATCCAGCAATAAGCGAAACCCCTCCCCCCATTAATCCATTACACTGCAGGTTTACTGTATGTCACTAATTGGAATGGGAACTGAATTGGAATTGGATTGAATGGAACTGGAATTAATGAGAATACATTCTAGATATTGAATGCTAAACTACATTTAGCACCACTCTGGAGTTCATGTGTGGTCTGATTGGGTTAGGAAATCCACAACAAAAACCTGATATTGTTTCCAAGACTTTTTCTTGACAAATCAAATTGAAAGAATAAGGTGACAGACATGTATGACACAGAAAACCTCAGCAAGATATTATGTTCATCCAGGATGTATTAATCTGCTGCTGACACTGTCTGAGTGACTAAGTACAATCATTAGAGCCAGAAATGCACAGAAATTGCACTTTCCACTGGTTTAAGCAATAGGAGCACTTAAACAAGTGATTTTTATTCCCAATAATTCATCTTTGAAAGTGTTTTGAACATATCAAATTTCATTCAATACTGATTGATTCTGATACATGAATGTTGATGTTTTCCAACACAACAAGTAACCGTTATTGGTGTTGTCAATGTTTTATTGAGATGAAATGGCTTATGAGGTAAAAATTGAGCAAATAAAGTAAGTGCGAAATAAGTGAAAAATAAAGGAGTTTGTATTGCCATGTCCCATAGAATGGTCAGAAAATTTGTGAATTTTTCCTTTACCATACATGTTAGTGTAAAAATGTCATGTCTTGATTAAATGAGATTTCATAAGACCTCAGAACCAGAATAGTTGATGCTCATAAATCTCATCAGAATAGTTGATGCTCATCAAGGTTTACAAGCCAGTATTTAAAGATCTGGGTCTCCTTCCATCCACGATCAGTCTATAAACAAAAACATATTTAATATTGGTCTTTTCAGTGTTAATGCCTCAACCATCAGGAAATGACTCTCTATAAAGAACACTTCTGCCCATCTCAAGTTTGCCAAAGTATACCTCGATGATCCACAAGACAACTTGAAGAATGTTCAGTAGACTCACAGATCAAAGTGTTTTGTTTTTTTTACCAGTTAGAAATGTTTTGTGTGGCGAAAACCAAACACTCATCCATCAAGCATGGTGGTGGGGATATCATGGTTGTGGGGTGCTTTCCTCATCCTCGACAAACCCATGAATCCTTTGCTGCATCAGAAAATTCTGGAGGCAATGTAAGGCCATTGATACAATCAGCTAAGCTACAAAAGTGAGTCAAGAAAATGATCCTCAACACACAAGCAAATACATCACAGAATGGCTGAAGAAGCAATTTTGCATTTTGGCTTGGACAAGTAATCCTAACCCATTGAAACTGTACAACAGGACCTGTAACAAAGTGTTCTTGCAAGGAAACCTTCAAATGTCACCAACTTGAAGCAGCTATTTTAGGAAGAATGGTCCTAAATTCTCATGCAAGAAATGCAAAACAGTTACAAGAAACATATAAGTTGCTACTCAAGGAGGTGCCAGCATATTTATTCACACAAGGATATTTACTGTTGGATAGTTTTAATTAAAAAATCAAATTAAGACTTTCATGAAAATCAAATTACATATTAGATAAAATATACAAGAATATGGACTAACCTGGGGTTCTCCATCCTTTTTGGCACTGTATCTTCTGCAAAGTGCATACTGTTTTAAAAGGCACTTGTACAGGCACCCTGTAATTTCCGATGTTTTGATTGGTCCATGGGTATGTATTCTAACAGGCATCCCAAAACATATTACTTTTACTGCTAAGTGTAATGCTCATGTTAAAGTACTGTTTCCAGCCCCCGTACCACAATGTCTGGTGATCAATCACATAATCAATCTTCCAATCTGCCCTTTCCCGTGGCAATGTGGTTGGGCAAGTTGTCAATACCACTTGCACATAGTTAATAGCACCTACAATGTTCAGAGCAGGGTATTTTTTCCAACTATGGCTGCATTACAGTGCTCGATCTTAGCATTTGCTTCAGGCTTGACTCCCTTCTTGTTCCCTCGACCATGCTTCCTGGAACTCACTTTGCTTATTTTCATCTTACCATGCACAGAATGACCTGGATTGCTTGACTTTCTTGAACCATCAAAGATGTTAGATCTATGTAACAGAAGGGTAAAAAAGTATAATATGTTTTTGTGTTTACAAAACACCAAGAACTGACAGTTCTGTCGCTTCTCTCAAATTTACATTGTATTAATACTGATGAGGATTCCTGATAAAAATCAATTATAACAATATTACCCCCACATTTCTAGGAGGATCTTACTAGCTGAAGTTATATGCACTGCTATTTGTCAAACTCAGGAACAGTGATATGAAGAAACTGAAGCATATTATTAAATCAATCTCAGTAGCACAGTACATATATGTTAATAATGGGTGCAAAATGCCATTTCAGAGTTTAAATGCACTGCACTGCATATATTGCCAAAACACCAGTAAGCTGTAACAAGAACATAAAGCAAAATCATGATATACAACATATTAAACATGATGTTGTGAACCTATCAATCCAAAACAGGGGAAAAAAAGATAACGCTCAAGATTTTTAATTGTTGATTACTGCAGAAATTATTTACTATTAGGTAAGTTAATTTTATACTAAGTATTGAATAATTACATTAATTGATATACAACAATTTAGATATCATTTATAACTCATATAAATTCTGAATGCAAACTGGTGACCTTCAGCTGCTCCAGTACCAGATCCACACAAGTAGGTCATTCTCCGCTATGTCTGAGAATAGGCACAGTGGTGCCGATCAAACTACCTTTAGTCATTCTGAAATGATAAATGGACCTCGTTAGTCCATACCTTAATAAAAATTGAGAAAGCCAACTGATTTTTCCATTTTAATTTGGAAATAGATTTATTTCTCTTTCTCTTCTTCACATATAGTGGCAAAAACAGCATAGAATGAATGTGATGGATGAAAACCATGAATGTCAACGTGTTGAATGACTCAATACTACTACTATTATAAACCAAGTTAATTGTACAATTTGCATCTTGATTTATTAAAACAGCATTTTTTAATGTAAGTATTATTATATTTGATGACTGGCTTTTAGACAAATGAGAAGCTCAAGACATGTAGTTGGTACAGTACATCGGCTTTTATTCCATGCAGTTGTTTGCTTTGATATTCCTTCTTATTCCCAATACTGTACAATGGTTAATACAGGACATGGTCAAGTTTGGTTGATCAGGAAGCCATTAAAACAGTTGATGAATGGATACAGAGGAAAGAGAGACCCGAGACACTCCCATGGGGAAATACAATTTTCATGAGCTTCCACAGGGTAAAAAGAGCTGTTGGCATTTACAGAAGGCTCCAAAGGAACACATAGTGGCTGGTGAACTACTAAGGGCATCTTAGATTAGTTTCATCATCCCACTGCAATCTGATCAAGATCCAACCAGACTTCTATTATCTGGAAAGGTCAAGTCCAATGGCAGACAGATGTAGCCCAATTAAGGTCCTGAGAGACTCAACTGATAAGGTCTGGAGGACAAAATTACAAGCGAAACACCAGGTTTACCACAATCCATCTGAAGTTAGTATCTCAAATGTATATTCCAGGTGGACTACAAAGCTGACAACAACCTACCTCTTTATGAACAATCTGTAAAAAAGGCCTAATCGTATCTTTGCTCATCAGTCCATAAATAACATAAATGTAGATGAAAAACCTGAAATTATTTTTCTTAAACAGTAGAGTATAATGATTTAAACTCTATTCCTGAACTTAATTTTATTCCAATGTCTTTTGGGGTTTGTTTTAAGTGAACAATTACCACTCCGCAATAAATAAACAAATTTATTTTCACACAAATTGGAACCCCTCCCATACTTCAATTTTAAGATGTGTATACTCTGTTCAGTAAAAACAAATTAATATTGGGACAGTAGCCACCACACAATACAGTAATAAAACACAAGAGAGACTGCAGGAAAGTAATCAACTTTGAGAATCTTTTTTTGTGTTTTGGAAGAAAATTATCGTAGGGAAATTCCACCACTTCAAGTTGTATTGGGTACAATTTGTGCCATTACATATTGCAGTCTGAAGAGACTGTTATGACCAAGATTTACAAACATGTACATATTGTCTGGACTACCTGTGCATAGCTTTTCAGTCCCTGCCCAGTCTAAGAAAAAGATTAAATAAAATGTAGGATTAGCACTTACTGGCTTTCATTTATAAAATCCAGATTGATTAGTAAAAAAAACTATGCCAACAGCCCTTTCCACACCCAATTAAGATCCATCATTTAATCATTCACTGACACAGTATTTGGACTTAAAAACATTAGCATGATGCAACTAAAGCAGCTTCTGTTTAAAATTGCCAAAAACAAACAGAACTTCTGATCTACAGACACAACAGGTTTACATCATAAATTAAGTGATCTTCATGTAGGCCAGCTACAAAAAATTAAATAAAATTAAATTAAGATTTTAAAATGGAATAATTTACAAGATTTGACATGGCATAACACACTGTCCTTCACTCTTCACCACTGTGCTGATTTACAGTAATAACCGTTTCAGTAAATTCTTTAAAGACATTGTAAACATAGGGAGAGATACAGAGAGGCCGCAATTCACTTCAGGTTCTTTAATACAACAAGCTGAATTGGACCAAGTGAGAAGCCTAGTGGATGCAACAGAACTGCTGTGGGATATTATTAATTAAAGTGCTCAGTTTAATTAATTTATCACTTTCTTTTCCAATCATTTTCGTTAGAAGAACCTGAGCAGCCTTTGATGGTCCAACCACACCAGAAGATCACTGCAATGATCACTTTACTTTCATCATAAACATGGAAGTAGTAACTTTCCTACTCTATGTTAAATACTGTCCTTAGAGAGGTTATGAATGCTGCAAGCTATGGAAAGCTACCTCAATTAAATTGTATGCAATGTGTTAAAACATTTATGGCACCATTTATAATGCCAAACGAGTGTTTTGTTCACATACAACGCAGCAGATAAAACCTATAGGTAAATGGTGTGATAGGATCTCCTCCTGTTCAATACAGTTGTCTTTAGATAATGCAGGATAATGTCATCAGTCTCCCAAAAGTGCACCATCACCTTTCAGTTTTGTGATTTTTATTGAAAGACGCACACAGTCCAATTCAATCCAGATTAGCCCTTTCATAATTTCACCTGTAAATATGTTTTGAAGAATTGCAATCAAAATTCATTTCAACACTGAGTGGTTGATTCCCACTAGACTATGTACAGTATTTACCTAAAAAGAGTAGCAGCTAAGCACAAATATAACATTATAAGATGCAGTATCCCTTTTTACACAGAGGAAAAATAAATTATAAAACAGCTACTTTATTAAACAGAGCACATAAAACTAAGTCCTTGGTTAAGAATGTTCTTCAAGGCTCGATAAACTACATATTTGGAGCTATAAAAATAAAACAAGTCATGTGCTGCTGTTGCTGTTGTTAATAACTATACCTTGGTTTGTTATCTCCACCTAGTGGATAAGAACAGTTCGTACTTCAGAGAGTACACAACATTTGACAGCACCTAACTATAAAACAGTAAATCCTGTACTCTACTGCATTTAGCAAAGCAGGCAGTGTAAATCACATTTTTATATGAAAATTTAAACTTGTTTTATATTAAGACGATATACATAAATCTCCAAACCCGCCAAGTTTTATAATGAAAGATACTGTCTAGCCTGCTAGACAATCCTGAGCACATGGAAGTGACCTTCCTATGACAGCCATCGGCCCGTATTGCTCTCTATCACTCACCAACAAAGGGCAGTTCACCTGCCTTGATTTTTTTTCCTCCAGATATATTTCCCAATATTTTCTCCTTACTATTTTTGATATTTTTAAACTGCTGCAAAAATAAAGCACATTTATCCCATATATTTTAAATCCCATGTCTAACACTGGAAAACTACAAGAAAATACCTTCAAGGTTTACATACATTTTTATCCTTCAGCAACTCCCATAATTACTCCACTCCTCACAGATAAGAAAATAATGCAATCTATCAATTGTCTGTTATGGAAACACCAGAAAAGATCACAATATAAACTCTTCAATTGTTCAGCACATCGGACAAAATCACAGTTTGAGAATCAAAAATAGAAAGGAGCACCTTGACCTGAAGCAACATAAAAGGGATACTGCATCTTGAAAACAACTAGTTGCCTGTTGCACAGAAATGTCCTTTTTATGCTTCTGTAAAAATGCTGCAGTAAGCCTGGAGCTGGTGGCTTCATTCTCCAGTGTACATAAGTCACACTTTCACTCACATTGGAAAGCATTGAGACAAAGGGCTGGTCAAAGAAAATAGGAAATATAGAGTTGCTTTGAAGACATTGTAAAATTCTGTTAGCAGACTGAACAAAATAGACTAGGGAAACAACACTGGTTTGGTTCTTGTTCAGGAACTTCAAACTTAATTTTTAAAAAGAAACGAACAATGAAAAAAACAAACATTTGGATTGGGCTGAGTTCATATGCTGGTTTATGCTGTATCTGGTATTTATTAGTCACAACCACTGGAAATATAGGTCATGCTCATTAGGTAGTCTCATACTGCAGGCTGAGCAGACATGCTTGATGGATAAATTGGATGGCTTTGGGGGAAGAGCAAATATTCATGCTGGTGTTTGAGCTTTTTTTACTCCTTATTTCTGGAAGAGTGTAGGAAAGGGGCTTGTTTCTGTAAACTTAAAAAAGAAAAACACAGCCAGATGATTTCTAGTCAGAGAACAAAAACTGGCTGAAAGAGAACCCCTTTAAAAAGACCTTCAACTGATACTGGAATGGCCTGCACCATGTTATGCTGTTTGGTTGAGTAAAGTTTAGGAGTTTTGCAAATATCTCCTCAGTTTCTCCCTCTACGGACACAAACAGTGTTGTAGCAAAATTCTGCGTGGGTTCTTCTCAGCAGAACCAGTTCAGTAACAACCCCTGATGGCCCCAGCACAGGCACTGACAGTCAGATCTATGATCCACATTGAGTCTTCCAGTTTCTCACTCTCAGCAAATATACTCCAAGCTTTACAATACAAAGTTGTTTTTTTTGAAACCTCAAACAAAAATAAATTATCAATGTTACACTAGCTACATTATTGAACAAATATAATCCCTGCCATAGGTAACTGGAAATGGAAGCTTCCCAGGATTGGTGATCTGGAAAGGCTGGTATTTGGGGATGGGGTACAATGAGGGAGCTGGGGTTCAAAGGTTGTTTTAGTGTTTCTGCTGTGTGATTCTGTTATTGCGGTTTTGTTCAAAGGTCTCCTGAAAGCAGAGCATCGTCTCCCAGTGTTTGTCAGGGTTCACCAGGTGGAGGTGCCACAGGGCTTGTTGTTCCGCACTGTGGCATCGGAGCACTCTGCCTCTGAGGAATCACAGTCTGACTCTCCGTAGTGCAGGGGATTCTGCAAACACACACATCAGATGAATGGTTAATTATGTATCCCATGCTGGAATGCAACGCAGGATGTCTAAGTTAACTATACAGAGGAAAACAAAGCAACAGAAACACCGGATACTAAATATCAGTGATTCAGAAATAACTGCCCTAACAACAACCACATGCACACGATAGGCAAAAAAGCATCTCCACTCTGTACCCTTTTTAATGGTTCTATGCAGAAAACATGCACAAATTCCTCACAGACATGATAAAATAGAAATGTGGTAATAAATATGACAAAATAACTAACTCTCCGCTTGGCTCAGATAAATGGAAACAATGCAAACAAGCCAAAATATTTATCACTGTTTGGTTACCCAGAAACTATATAAGTCATAAGCAGCTCCAAGAAGCATTTTTATGTAATATGCTTACTGAAGTCACACTTTGAAAAGAACACTTTCAATGAGAAACATGAACCATAAAATTACAAATAATACACTGCCTATATAGACACAAAGGTCAAACAGAAAGAGTTAGTTTGGAGAAAGAGTTATTTTGATCTGTAGAACACATTAAAAATAAAATTGGCCACTTCTTATGGCACTTCATCAATATCTAGGTACAAAAGGCCTGTATATAGTATATAGTGATTAGTGACTATGTATTGAGTCTATACAAAGAATAACATCAAATAACATGTTATACCCTGAAACAGTACCGGACTTCCTATTAGGCACTGTAGACACAGTGCCTAGGGCCTACAAAATCTGTAGGAGCTACGAAGAATTTAAGCACTAGTGACTAACGAAAAACGAGCTGAAACAACATGCTTGCAATCGACTCTACTGTAGGTGCTTCAAATCAATAATCATACGCTATCCAGCAGCTGTTCTAGAAACCTGAAGTATCGAAGTAATGGTCGCTCGACTCGCTCCATCAATCATGTGGTTTAGCATTAGAATAGGTTAAAGTGCATCATGTCAATCGATGCAATACAATTGGTGTGCACTCTTCTTTTTGGACATTTTGGAGTGAAAGTGCCTAGGGCCTATGAACACCAAAATCCAGCCCTGTCCTGAAAATCATTAAAAAGGATACGAAAATTGTGGTAATGCTCATTGTTGTATATAAATGTATCTGTTCTTAGATAAAAATGATTTGCATCAAGGACTTAGTCAATAGCAGTAATTATTTCTGTACACAAGGTGACACAAAACATTCAAGGAGTAGACAAGCTCCCAAAAAAGACAAGTGAAGATCTAGTTGTTCAGGATTGGGTAAACGATTGAAATTAACAATGCACTTTTAATGTGAAACAAACAGATAATGAAGAATCACTGGCTTGTTGGGGAGGCTTCCAGCTACTCAAAATATTTCTATTTCTATGGTAATGGACGTCTATAGAGACATAGTCACTGGTAGACCAATCTACAAAAGCATCAAAACATGATTATAAAATTTGAGTATACAAGGAAAATCTGAAAAGGAACCAAAAGGACTGGAGCCAACAAAGGAACCCAAAAGAGAACATCAAACCATCAAAAGACCAGATATTTAAGTACTAATATTGAAATACCAACAGCAGAAGGAATGTAAAGCAAGACATCGAGGTTACCAATCGCATCATCACTGCATGCTACTTAAGAGTGATGGTGATGAATACAAAAATAACCACATAATACACATAATTTAGTCTAATATAATACTATCAAGAATGTAGGCATAAAGGAAGAAGTAGTTATTAGGGGGGATTTTCCTCCAATCCACTGGAAAAAAATCAGGAAAAAAACACTGAGAAGAACATCAGGAAATGAAACTAAAATGTTAGAACAACGTTTTTTACCTACAATATGGAGCGAGTATTCCAATAAAATAGTGTGATAAAATGGTATGCTAGTGAAGTCTAGCTGTTGACTTCACCTGAAGGCTGAAGGAGTCGAGCCCCTACCACATTTCTGAGATTGAGAAAATACAATCTCTTAAATTATTGCAAAAAACAACTTCATAAGACCAAATGTTTGTGTTTACACATAATGATTTTACATTATGTGCATAACATCATGTAATATTTCGAGACAATATCTGTTTATATTTGCATTCACGTACAATTTTGCAATCAAGAAAAAGCCTGTGCCTACTGTCAAAAATACTTGGGAGAAGGATTGTCTGATCTATGAAAGAACAGAGCAAAATAGAATGCTGAGAAAAACAATCAAAATGGCCTGACTGAACAATCCACACTAATGTGAGAATGGTTCACGGCAGTTCCATAAAAAATAAAAGAGAAGCAGACCTCATAGCTGTGCTCGTCGGTACAGAGCTTGCCCAGGGAGATCTGGGTCTTCACGCGGCGAACTGCACACTCCTTGTCCGAGAGGCCATCGGACTGGGTGGAGATGTCAATGGGGAGTTCCGGAGTTTGTGAAAGCAGTTCGTCCAGTCGTTCTTCCTGGCTGTTGCTGAGCTGCTCCAGAGGCCCACTGTGAGAGTGATCGCTGGTGTTGCCCTCTTCACCATCTGACACTGACAGGTTCTCTGAGCTGAAGGTGGAATATGACTGAAAGCTGCTCATGCAGCGATGTGGCCTGTGAGAGAGGGTGGAGGGGGCTTCCTTTGAAACAACTGCTAATTGAAAGGCAAGATATGCCTGCAGGGAGCTTTGCAGCTGTACTACAGATCTATTAATTAGTTGATTTTGGAGGCTTGGTGGTCCAGCACATAAGCTGGTATTATTATTACTTAGCAAGCGATACACGGCATTATGCATTATATTTTTTTCAGGTTTAGAATTTGTTTAGTCATGAGTTTGTTTCTTCTTTGTACTTTACTGTATCTCATTAAGTCAATGAAGGGTTTGATTGTGTAACTGAGGGCACAGCTGGAACAAAAAAAATGCAGCTGTTTTGGTCCAGGACCAGGATTGGGAACCCATGACTTAGAGGTTGTCTGTATTCATGTCTGAACAATGATGTTTTTTTTTTTAAAGCTCATTGATTTTCCTTATTTTTAACCAAAGTGTATCCAATATATATATACATATGCAATACATAGATCTCCTCCAAAACAAAAGTGTTAAGTGTGATATGAAGAAGAGTGACTTCCACTCTCCTTCTACCCTTACCTACTGTAACACTAACCTTAAGCCAAAGCTATAAGTTTAAAATGTGTGGATCCAACATAGCAAAACTAGAACTAAACAAGAGGAGACAAAACATGTGGGGTTCTAATGGGTGACGAATGCCTTCAAGTTAAAAGGTTGGAGCTGAAATTCACTTCTCAATGCTTTTCTTTGTGTAAACAAATAAATTCAGTAATTAACATGGGTGCAATCTGCATTACAATGCATACACCGTGTTCACTATTTAACGATGTATAAGCCATCTTTTACCTCTGTCTCCTTGGAAATTCCACTTCACTGTCCACCTCCCCTTCCTCCTCTTCAGACGAATCATCACCATCCTAAATAACAGCAGAAACAGTTATTCAACTGCAGACTCTCAGTCCTCTCATAGCTTGTAGTAGTGGTTAATTAAACACCCTAAAAAAGTAATTAAAAACACTCCGAACCTCAATAGAGCACTTGTTCTTAAAATAGAAATAATAATCCCCTCTGTACTTAAATGAAGTGTTACCAAATAATTTCTACTTTAATACCAAGATGGGAGTGGCATGGTGCACTGATTATTAGTTAGCCTTCTAGTGTCTCTGGGTGCTCTGGTTTCCTCCCACTTTCCAAAGACATGGTGCCTACAGTAAGTTAACTGTGCTCTCTAAATTGTGTGACAGCACGAACAGTTGTGTGTCAGTGGGCTTGCCTTGTGATGAACTGGTATCCCATCCAGTATCCCATCCAGTTTGTTGCTCTAACCAGGAATGAGTGACTTTCTGATAGTAATGATGGATGCCAAGTATTGCTATGTATCTACACTTCATAACTGGCATTAAACCCTTAATCAGGACAAGTCTAGTGTGAAACACTGTTACAACATGCCTTCTAAAGATCAAAAGACCATAATCTCCTTTTTTATATTAACACATACAAAAAATAAGCTCTAGGAAATACCTAAACCCATTCCCTAACCAAATCTGTCTTTGATTATCATTTCATGTCCAGTCACAGCTGTCCACCCTTAACACTGAACCTGTTTCTTACCTTCCTGAGAGGCCGTAGAGATCGTGGTAAACCAGGTGGGGTGATGTCGTGGGGAGAGTTGTCATGGGGTACCCCATCTTTGTCCTTGGAGGCTGGAAGACCGTGCTCAGCCTGTTGGGGGTGTGATTCGTAGGTGCTAAGCAGGGAGTATGAGGGACGTTTGGGATGGCTGGGGGCAGGAAATCTTTCTCCAGCAGTCTCCTGGCAGTGGGGGCAACCTGGGAAAGGGTGGGCTTGGCAGCATGGGCACAGGGAGCCTGGGCCAGATCTGTCAGGGGTCGCACGCTCACGGGAGTCAGCCTCCATAGCGGTGGAGATGAGGTCAGGACTGGAGCCTGAGACACGCCTTTGCAGGTGGTCAGTTTGTGGGCTGCGCAAGGCTGCAGCAGGGCCAAAGTAACGCAGGTTGTTGGCACAATTGGCCACAGCGTCTTCTCGGGCGTGGTGGTGATGGTGTTGGTGGTAGTGTTGCAAGGGTTGCTGTTCCTCTGGTGCAGCTGCTACATTCTTCAGGATACCTGAGAATTCGCTGTGGCTGCCTTTGCTGTTTCCCCGCCGGTGCCGGGGCTTGCTGCGGTACCTGGCCTTCCCAGGAGGGGTGGACACTTTGGGGCTCCCAGAGAGCGGTGAGGGGGAAGGCAGAACCTCCACACTGGGGATACCATCTGAGCGCAGAAGGTCCGGTCTGAGGGAATAAATTGAGGAGGAAATCTGTATCAGAAAACAACTGTGTGTGACTGGGATAGCCAAACACATAATAATAATAATAATAATAATAATAATAATAATAATAATAATAATAATAATAATAATAACAGAACTTTAAAAAACACTAAAAACATGTAATGCCTTTCAGTATGAACACAAAAGCAAAAAAAAGGAAAAAAAAATATTTAAAAATAATGAGTGGAATCTCAAGTTAAACTAAATTATATATTAAAAGCTTTTAGTTCATAACATCTTAATCAAAGTTTATCAAACACAGATTTTGATGTTAGCTTTTAAAGTATCAACAAATTCAGGGACTCTAAAGGATTTGGGCCGTAAACTCCATAGATGCGGTGGTACACATAAGAAGGCTACATCACACTTTTGAATGGAGCCTGGTCTTTGGCAGATTAAAAAGGCCAATCTCAGATTAACAGCTGTACAGTCCAGAGCTAGACCAATCAGTTCCTACATGTAAGCAGAAGGACCTTAAGGTTCACTTTAAATTTCACTGGTAGTCAGTGCAGTTTAAAAACGGCTCTGTGCTGAGCACTTCAGCAACCAAAACAGAAAAGATTGGAAATACTTTAATAAGTTTATTTAGTACTTTAAAAGAGCAGTGTACTCATGATGAAATAAAGGCATGTATCAAATATTCAGCAAGAGTCTTCACCGAGCATATACCCTTGTGATACTTGAGGCACTACAAGTGATACAAGGATTCTGAATTCCACAGAGGCTTTGATTTCTGCAAAAACAACACCAAAGTTACCAACTTTGTGAAGCCAACGCTGGGAGCCTATGAAGATAATACCAGTTTGTCACGGCTGATCTTAAGAAAAGTATGCTGCATTCATTTCTTATTGTCAAACACTTGTAGAGTGCAAAACAGCAGGGGTTGTATTTAATTTGTTTTTCTTACTAATATGAGTGTTAAGACCATGGCAGAGAAACCCAAATCAATAATAGTGAATGATCTGACCATGAGGCAACATGTATACGTTAAGTCAAATGTTTAGGCAACATTTGAAAAATGTTGTTTCCAGTAAAGGGTCCCAGCGCAAAAACCTGTAGAAGACCTGGAGTAAGTAGAGGTAGTTTAAAATAGCTAAATCTAACATTTCCTTCTGGTCATCAAACAATCTTGCAAACGTAAGGACAAGTAATCAGGGCCAGCCCCAGTGTTTTGGGGGCCCTAAGCAAGACAATGGAAAGGGGCCCCTTCAGATCACGATTTGCACAGACACTATTATAAGCTCCAAACATAACCCTATTTTAATATTTATATCAATAAAATTAATTAAAGAACTAGAAAACTTGTATTAACCAGCTTTGGAGAACACATTAATAAACAATTTATAAAGAAGGCACAGATTTTACAAAGATGAAGTATTTTAATATTGAAAGTAATCAAAAGGTGCATTAATAACAATAAACAATGATAAACAAGATCTCTGTTACTTCTAAATTTTATCCAATAACTTGAATTACTACAATGAAACCTTTGTAGAAATAAATGTGAAATTAAGTAAGAAAAAACAAGGGAGATGACCTCAGTAAGGCTGGGCAGATGAAAGTTTTATAAAAAATGTTCTATAAATCAATTTAACTACATTTTCAACCTCAGGTATGTTTTAATCATCTTGAGCTCTGAAAAGCTCCTCTCTGCTCCTGCCACTGTCACTGGGAGAGAGATTGCAATCTGAAGAGACTCGGGTTGTGAAACCGCAAGGAAAAATACTATGTGTTTTAATGCAGATTACGTATAATTGATTAACAATCTTTGGTTCTGTACATTTGCTTTCACATTTTTGGTTGACTGGATGGCACTGATATTTAGCCAGGTGACCCACACAGCAGGTGTACATTTGTGGAAAACTTGAATCTGTTAACTTCTAATAAAAACACCTAAAAGTAGTTTACGTCTCTAGTTTGAAAATGTAAAATGTCTAGCGTTCACTAGCTACGTGGATCTGACTCAAAACCAAATGAAAAACAAATTATTACATTATAATGCACATTGTACGTTACTACAATGACTTGATTCAGTGTACCTCTGTTTTGAGATTGCTTATCTCTCTCTTCTTTTCTGAGCTTCCGAAACATTACGTACTTAATTATGATTGGTCATTATTTTTTGACTGGGCTTCCATTAGGATAACCTACAGAATATCCTGTAAGAAAGAGTTGCTATAGGTTCACGTTTGAGCGTGCCAATAAAAAGTATGCTGTGTTTATGCCATTGAGGGGGCTCCCAGGTGGCCTCAGGACCCTAGGTGGTTGAGACTAGTTCGTCTATGCCTATGTTATTTTTGATTGAATATGAATTTTCACTACACTGTGCCACTACATCCTTATCCTCTATTACAAGCGAATGACTTTGCAATGCACTTTGGGAATGTGCTCATCAAGAAAAGGAACTACCTAGAATAAAGACTGAATGATTAACTGACTGGTCTTTGGTTTCTGCTTTGTGGCCACAGGATGTTTCTTTGGTGTACACTTTGATCCAACTTGAAGAACAAATAAAAAAAAAGACAGCTGGGGCAGTGGAAGCACTCACCGCTTGGCTGCCTGCACCCCTGGCTTGTGTGCCATGCTGCCTTTCTTCTTGATGAGCTTCTCCACAGCGTTGGGCCGGACCATGGGCCTCACCGGGTGGCGCTTGTACGTCCCGGGATACTTCTTCTCCACAGCCTGCTCCCTCCTGGCAGGGCATGGCAGTGGATTTAATATAACTGTAGGATCACGAACTGTACATCCAATCTAACTACCATTCACTGGAGATTTTAAACAGGTTTAGACCTACAGGCCAAACCTTTTTTTTTTAAATCTGTCTGAATTTTAATGCTAACATGTCTTTCTTGAAATTAATATTAATAGGTGGTATCATTTTAAAAAGGCCTCAGCAACACTTGTGTGTGTGGTTGTTTGGTTGTTTAGCCTATTTATCAGTTATCAGTACCGCTTGCAACTGTACTAACAGCCATGTGCTATCAGAAAGCACAGAAATGAATTGATTTTCTGGGAAACAGGACTAATTTACAGAACATCTGACTTAGTGCAGTTTTCCCTGGTTTGCATGAACTATATTAAGACAAATTTACACCTCTAGCTTAGAGCATACTGTAATTAAAAAAGGTTTATTGGAAAAAGTAACTGAACATGAACAAAGCCCTACCATAGGCATACAGAACTCTATTATATGAGGACAGAGTCACTAACATTAGTTCTACCTGAAGAAAATTCTTTAGTTGTTTAAAAACTTAGTCACTTGCCCTTTTTTCAGAACTTTTTCCATTAATGATCATGAGTTATCTATGAAAGCATCTCATTAACTTTAGTTTGGAAAAATAATAAAATATTTAATATTTAATATAAAAATATAAAATATCAATATTAACATCTAATACCTGACAGCTCAAAGGCACAGGGAAACCAGGAGACACTAAGGTTCTAATTAATAAATCATTACTACTTCTTCTATTTTATACATGCCTTCTTTCTCAGAAAAAAAACGTTACAATAATATTTCAGAATGTTATATTTTCTAAAAGTTTTTTTTATTTGTACAAATGTGGTCAAAACCCTGCATAAATAAGGTTCTACAATCTTAAAAAGGGCTGAAGTCTGACATGTTGGAGAGATGCTACAGGGGCTTATATTAGATTCTCAGGCAGGACATTTTACAGCTTTAGTGCCAAGTAGGAGAGGAGGCACCTACTTGATAAGTTCCTTCTCCCGGACCTCCAACTGCAGCATGATGGCACTGAGCTCCATGTACAGGTTGTTGGCCCTCTCCAGTTTCTTTTCATAGTGTTCTCGGATATCCAACGCATGCCTGAGAAAGACGGAGAGCAAGAGGAGCCAAGGGAATTAATACAGGTAACAGTATTTGACGAACCTTGCAGCTACAAAGCATATTTTCTCTGTCCTTGTACCCTGTAAAGACCTAAAAGGAAGTTTTGATAAATTCCATTAAGTTGGTAATGTCTCATTGTAATCCCTGAGAGCTACAGGTAGTTTATTTATTTTTACTTATCTCTAATCTAACTCACAAGTAATAAGCGTTTAGAAAGTGATGATTTGAGGGTGACCTATAAAACATTTTGAATTGTGGCTCTCCAGCACCAGGGCTTTTCAACATTATGCTACTAAAATTGACCACACACTTTTGGAGAAACTATACCTAGCTTTGCTTTTCACATGGTTTCTCTGAATACTTGTTAAGCATTTCTCTGACATTTATTACTACCAGAGGTACAGCAGGAATAGGCACCTGATTAAAAACACATTTTTAATTAACAAAACAGAAAAATGAAACCAAAGATCATACCATGCTATAAATATAGAAGCAGACAAGCCCTTCCTTAAATTAATGAAGAACTTGGACTTGAACTTGGACTGGATCAAATCACCCAAGAAGAGTTGCATTTTGTGATATAAAGTAACGACTTAGAATTTGTATTTGACATTAAAGCTGAACTTAATGTACAGTGCTGTGAAAAAGTAAGTACATCCCATGAAAAGGTGTGTGTTTTCCAACATATTTGCATGTATGGATATTTAATATAAATATGATCAACAATAACAAATAACAATAGGACGTAACAAATAACAATGTAAATTATTATTTACAATAATTTATTCAACAATAAAAAGTCAGAAAAGCAATTGTCTGCTGTGGAAAAAAATAAGTACACCCCATAGCTTCAATAGCTGGTGATGTCCCCTTTGGCAGAAATCACTTCTTGAAGTGGTTTCTTGTAATTATCTATCAGTCTCCTACATCGACTTGGAGAAATTCTTGCCCAATTCTTACAGAACTCCTTCAACTGTGTGGTGTTTGAGGGCTTTCTTGCATGTACTGCCCTCTTCAAGTCCCCCCATAGCATTTCTATGGGGTTAAGATCTGGGCTTTGACTTGGCCATTCCATAACCCTCCATTTCTTCTTTTTGAGCCATTCTTTTGTGAATTTGCTTGAGTGTTTTGGGTCATTGTCTTGTTGCAAGGTCCACTTATGGTGCAGCTTCAGCTTTTGAAAGACAGCCTCACATTCTCCTCAAGTACTCTCTGGTACAAAGTGGAATTAATGGTTTACTCTATGATTGCAAACTGGTCAGGCCCTAAGGCAGAAGAGCAGCCCCAAACCATAATGCTTCCACCACCATGCTTTACAGTTGGTATGAGGTTCCTTTGGTCAAAGGCAGTTTTTGGGTTTTGCCAAACATGACGTCTGTCATTGTGGCCAAACAGCTCTACCTTTTTTCTAATCGTTCCAGAGCACATTGTTTCAATGGTCCTGATCTTCACCAAGGTGTTGTCTAGCAAACTTCACTCATGCATCTATATTAATGTTTGAGAGCAGAGGCTTCTTCCTTACTGACCTCGCATATAGGGCAAAGTTGTGTAGTCTCTTTCGGATGATTGACTCATGTACTTTGCCATTGACTGAGGCAAGACTTTGCCTATAAATCCCTTGATGTTATCCTGGGGTTCTTGGGGACCTCCTGCAGCATCTTTCGGTCAGCTCTTGGGCTGAATTTGGTGGGATGACCTGGCCAAGATAGATTGCCAGTGGTTTGACATTTTCTCCATTTATAGATGATCTTTGGGACAGTGGAGTGATTGACTACAAATTGCTTGGAAATGGCTTTAAAACCCTTCCCAGACTCATAGGCATCAACAGTCTTTCTTCGGAGGGCCTCAGAGAGCACTTTTGATCCTGGCATGATGTAGCCACATACCTCAATTACTAAGACCAGACCAGACCACAGGTTTGTGATGTTTATATAAGGCAGTGCCCTCCAAGTTACTCTCGAGTGATGTTCTAATTATTTGCAGCTGTTTTAGTGCACGTGATTCTAATTTTAGGCATTTGATGCAATGATAAAGGTAGGGGTGTACAAACTTGTACGCACAAGGCATTTGCATTTCTGTTGATTTAAATAGTACAAATGTGTGCAATATGAGATTTTTCAATGTTATTTTTAAAAATTGGATCACCTTTATCTATCAGTATTGTTGAAATGGCGATCAAATATCCTTTTGTCCAAAAAAGTAAAAAAAGACATACCTTTCATGGGGTGTACTTCCTTTTTTTTACACCACTTTACATTTAACTCTGTACATACTAGAGTTAACACTAATTTTGCCATCTTACTTTGAGGTAATTTATTTTTTCTTCCTCTAGTCTTAATACATTTTCCAGGTGTTTTAAGTAAGAGGCCAGTTATTGAAGGGATTTCCAGGACTATGGAACAGTGCAAAAACATGTCCCACACCTCAGTTCATCTCTCCTGCGGCGGATCAGCTCCTCATCTAGTCGGTGGATGCATGTTCCCTCACTTTTGATCTTCTCAAAGTGTTTCTTCACCTCCTCTCTCCACTCCGCCTGCAACATCACATCACACAAACAATGCCAAGATTTGTACAAATCCTACAAACAATGCCAAATAGAAGCACATACTTGATAAGCAATATGAGGGGAAATACAGCCACTGCATTGCATCCTACTATTTTAGGAATTTCTCAGTTGATCGGAATAAGAGGAAGAGCACCGCACGAAAGTAAACAAACACGAAACATCAAACAGACTGTGCTGGCTCCAAAGGTCGACAAGCCTCTCCTCCATTTACCGTCCAAAATACTCGCTTTCCTTCTTTCCTTGCAGCCGCATTGTACCTCTGGTTGAGCGCTCATTGGCTGTTGACTGTTGCAGACAAAAGAGCCCACCCCTACGACTTGCATCTCGCCATGAGAAAATCAAACCTGTTTGATCGTAGCGAGCCGCAAAGAGTCGTAGGGACTGTTAAGAGTGCTGGGTCGCTGGGGGTGTCACACTGCACATCTGACAGTAACGGGCACGGGCTGCGACTATCTACAATTCACTGTGATTTTTCTTACGATTCTGTAAATGAAGGCTACGACTGAAAATCCTAGGAAAAGTCATGTAGTGTGATGCCGGCATAATTCTGACTGTTGTGTTCATTTAAACTTGCGTCATGGAAACTTCAAATAATTATAATAAATAACAGGCTGATCTAAGTAACTGTTTTGGGTGATACAGTAAAATATAAATTTTACGGTATGGTGTGGTGAGATGTGAGCCTTTGGGATTTTAGCTGCTGATATGTCAGTGAGGGGCAAGCGGGATAGATTATCTTTGTCAGGGGGACAGTGAGAAGTTGGCTCTCGCAGTAATACAGCAGAAGAAAAATCCAATGCTGGAAAGGTGAGGATTCCAGCCACAATCCCGGAGAGGACTGAGCAATGCTACAGAGTACAGGTCTGTCTGGGCAACAGAACGCACATGCTGAGTCATCTGTCCATGTCTGCTCTGCTTGAGCGGAATGTGTCAGGAAATTCAGAGAAGATGAGTCTTATGGTGTGACCATAGTAGTGGAAAATGGTTAAACTCCCATGTTAAGAAGTGAACGGCCTAGGAGTATTGAATGGTTTAGAGGAAGTTTAAGGTTAATGAGAGAGGGGAGGCTCTCACAAGAGTAGCAGCCTCAGTCATTTCCGTGTCAGCTTGTCAGTAAACAAGACAGGTACCTGAACACTGGTTGAGGCTTTTTTTTACATTACTACAGCATCTTGTGAAGGCTTGCACTACAATATGCATTTAGTATTAAGTAGTAATGAAATATAAGAAGGTTAATGGGCTGTTGAGAATGGAATCAGTATTTTTAACTTAGAACTAAAAAGTACCACAAGCTGACTACTAAGCTTCGATTGTTTTATACCAGGTAGAGAAGCTGACTATGTACCTGAACCAGGCAAGGTGCTCTGAGCCTTAATGCAGAAATAAGAATACTTTAAACATTTTGGTTCATCAGACACTGACAAGTACCAAGTCTCAAGTGTTTTTCACATCCATGGACTTATTTATGATGGTAGTTAAATATAGAAATGAAAAGCGCCACTCAGGAATTGACATCCTATGGACAAAGACAGGCTTTTAGCTCTAAGGGGGTCTGTGGGCTAACCTGGGATTTGAAGTAGGTCTCCTGAGGTGTACCCAGCACGTCAGCTGAGGCAATGTCCAGGTGCAGGAGGATCTGCCTGAAGGAGGGCCTGTTTCTAGGCTTTCCCTGCCTGCAGTAGAACAAAGAGGGTTAGAGAGTGAGAAAGAGAGCAGCACTTTTACCATCTTTGCACTCCCTCAGTGCACTACATAAACATCACAGTATTCTTGTGGTACGTTGTGGCAGCATGTACACTAATACATGCCACTCCTGGATCAAACTAAATACCCAAGCTTCCCGATTCCTTTAAAACTATTCTAAATGGTATATTCCTATACTAATTTAGAACACAATCTTTTGAAAATGGCTCAATTATTAAATTAAATATTTATTCCAATACTTATGAAGTCAGGAAAGTCGCACTAAATTAAAAATTGCCATCTTGAAAGACCCTTTTATAGATTTTTTACAAAATTCTGTATTTTGTTCTAATGGCTACTGTCCACAAAAATAAGGGAATAGTAAGGAGATGGTATTATCGTCTGCAAAATTCTGGAGACTGATGGAGTGAATAGGAATTAAGTGATTAGATTAAAAATTAAAGCTATTCTGTAAAACCTGAAACAAAGGGCTAAGGGTAACTGAAACCATAATCCATAATGAATAAAAGTTTGTGTAGGCACTATAAAGACAGGGTTTCAAGCTTGTAAGAGAAATGAGTTATATACTACAAAGGAACAAGTAATAGGTTTATTCCATGCTGAAAAAAAGAAGAAAGAAAACACAATGTTTCAGCCATGGAGTCTTCTTCAGGCCACCTTATCTTCAGGCTTACCTTATGATTGAAGGTATACATCACGTCAAGCCTGCAGCTGTTCTCCCAAGTCACTGCTATTTCCTGGAAAGCTAAAAAACACTGCCCGACTAATCCCAACTCTGCACTCTCAATGCTCAGACAATGAAACTCTGCCTCTTGGGAAATCCTGGTTACAATCAGCTATTGACATGACTAAAATTCAAACCAGCAACATCAAGGTTTTCAAGCTCAACCTCTGTTCCAAGTATGTACCTTTATTTACTGGTTGAGATAAAATATTTAGATTTCTATTTGGTTACTGGACAGACATTGAGTTTCTCATTAAAGTTTACTAATAGGATAAAACACCCTGAGATACATCATCTAATTTTCAAGGGGATCCGAGACGCATTGTGCTGATCCCTGCCTCTTACCATGTCTGTTTCATTAAGATCTTGAAGCCATCAGGACAGGTTGAAGGGACAGGGAGGTGAAGGCTGTTGCTGCCCACTCCCCAGATGATAGCAGAGGAATCTACGTCTTTGTAGGGGATTTCTCCTGTTAGCAGCTCCCATAGCACTACTCCAAATGACCTGCACACAGTAGAAAATGATATTAACATAACAGGTTTTGAAGATGCCAATCAATTTTGTATTTAACATTAGTGTGGCATTTTTAAACGGGGTTTTACAGGGGTCATATTAAGGTTGCGTGGGAGATAACAAACTTTAAATAAATCACAAATATGCTTCAAGGCTCCATATATACAGTAAATGTCTTAAACATGATCAGTAGAGCTAAGACACTTAAATCAATCATTAACAAAAAATGAGACTAAACCACTGAAAACTTAATGTGACAGATTGCACACAGATTGTTATTTTTAAATTGATTACTCATAGCACTCTGTCATTATGTCAATACGGACTTAGAAAAATGTCATAAAAGAATAAATGGTCTGAATGAAAGGAAGTAAAATACAGCAAAAAAAAATGTCTGTTTTCATCAGACTAAATCTTACATTTTTTAGAATTTGGTACGACAGTCAACTTACATGGATTGGATTCTCCAGCAGTGATAAGAGGTTCTTTGGGAAGGTATATTTAAGGAGACATCTCATTCACAATGGAGACTTAACAATGCACTCATGCATTCAAGCATTCAATACTACTTTACTAATAATGAATGACTTTCACCTTAACTAAAACTTTATTTGGTGCTAATGGTTGCATTGTAGGATTGTCAATTTATCAGTCCTGAGTCATTCATACTTACCAAATATCCACCTTCTCAGACACAGGTTCATTGCGGATCACCTCAGGAGCCATCCAGGCAACTGTTCCAGCGAAGGACATCTTGGTACTCTTGTCACTGAGCTCCTTAGAAGTCCCAAAGTCTGAGATCTTCACAGCATCATTGTGGGTGACCAATACACTGACATCAAAAAGAACACAGGAGGTCATCACTTAGATCAAAACAATTAAAATCACTGTTAGCAGTGCTCAGATAGAATGACCTTTTGATGCAGCAGAATCACTGCCATAGCATTACTTTCTTCAATTCTGGTTGTCCTGCAGGTACTGTATATTTCAGAGATGTTCAGTTCAAAAAGGCTTGCTGACTACTTAGTAGTGAAAGACTCCATTGCATGATTTAAGCCAAATGGCCATTAGTGATTCTATCCAGAGAACTGTGTTTGCTCCTGGTTTGGTGATAATCATTTGTTTAATAATCAACAAGGTAAGCTCTTTACAGATGAAATTCAACACAAATATTTGGAAAGAAAACGGTTAATTGTTTTTAGAAGACAAAGCTTCCATATACCTTCTTAAGTCAGTATAACATGTTTTTGAGATCAAATAGAGATCATAAAGAGGAAGTCAGGTAAGCCAGGTAGTCAAGTAATGTGTTTTGTAGCAGTGGTAAAGAATTATCCAGTCACACTTAGGAACAGATGGGCAGAGTTAGCTGGGCTGGGGTATCCACAAACTGGATTGGGTAGCAGCCATTCACATTCTCCAACAAGTTACCTAGTAAGAATACAGATGAAGCCATTCAGAATGTACCGTCAAAACCCTGTAATGCACTACAGGGGCTGAACTCTACTGCAGCATGTGGTTCACTGGCCAAAGATGATCAACAGGTGGCACTTGTGGTGTATTACATGTAAGTGAAAGAATTACTTAATTTAATCTCTCTACTGTGGATGTTTTAATACACTTAATATAGAATATTTATATGGGATTTTACAACTAAAGGGAAATTTAGGTAGCTGAGCATAAAAATAACAGGAGCATAATGTCTCTGAACATCATAAACAATATTAATTTAGGAATATAAATATATTTAACATACTGTATATGGCTGGTAGTGGTAGCTAAAATAAAAACACATACACAATAGTATTCCACTTTCTTCATAAACATTTTATATCAAAGTCTTTTAACTCAGTCACTTACTGTGGTTTTTGATAAGGTTTGACATGCTCGGTCTGACTATATGAAGTTTATATACTTTATAAAAAGCTATAATGTTTTAACCTTTTCTATGAATATTTGCTGTCCTTATTGCAGTAAAGAAATGTGTACTTTTTAGAATCCTCTTAATAGGGAATATAATATGGAATCGCATAACTAAAGAAATTAATCTCAATATTAATATAAGGATCTAAATATATTTATATAGCTGGTAGTATTACTCTATTCCACTTTCTTTAAAAACATATGCATCAATTTCTTTGACTCATTCACTTGTGATTGCTTTGGAAACATTTTGACCTGTCTATTTCAGCTATGTTTCTAAGCAGGGAGGTCCAGGGTTTTTTTTGCGCTTAGGGCACAAGTTTTTCTTCTAACAAAGACTCCTTTTAAAAAAAATAGTAAATATTATGCACACTATATTGACTGTTTATTGACTGATATTGACTATCACAACGTGTCCAATGTTAAATGATATTATTAAAAACATTAAAGAGCAAACATGAATACTATCAACAGTGGAAGTAAAAACAGTTCAACCAGTGTAATTTAATTAAATTCAGAATACTTTATTCATCCCAGTAGGGCAATTTAACACAAACCTTTACAACAAGCCTTACAACGAAAGCGCATATATTAAAATTATAATCGAGAATAACAAAATGGTATTAAAAAGACCACTGAAACTGAACTACAATAACGTATGATTATTATTAACAATATTAATTTATAAATAATAAATCATAATTCCAAACTTGTATTTTGTTCAGGATAATTTGTTTTCTCCAGTTTTCATAATCTTTGCTTTCTTATTAAAGCGCCTACTTACGAGACACAACGTTTCAGTCAATAACTGCAAACAAATGACACAAAGCCTTCAAACCACAGGCATTTTAAAAATCGTGATTTATGAACATTTTCACAACTTTTATTTACACAACATCTAGTATTTGGCAGCATTTTTAGAAACCTTAGTTTAAATAAAATGGATCCCAGGTGTAAGGGAGTTCATAACGCGATAATTACTATTCAAAGAATAGTATACAGCTTAGTGTAAGCTGTACCTCTGTTTTAAACACTTAAATTTTGTTAACACAATACACGTTTCATACAGAAAAAATCACATTCTCGAGTCTTCCTGTGGTGTGAAGCAGATCAGCAGGTTGCTGAGAAAATAGCAAACCACCCACTGATCTCCATCAGAGAAGAGGCGGCACCGAAAGACCTTTCTGCAGCCTGGAGTGCTTACAGCACCGAGTGTGTCTGCCTTTAAACTTATTTTTTAAAATTAATCAAGCAACGTAAATCGACAAGCGACAGTTTATTGTACTTCCTAATTACATTACATGTGGAAAGATTTTAAAAAAAGATACCCGCTATGAGATGCAGTTACTAAGGATACATTTTAAAGTGCTGGCTTAAGGAAACAGCCTTTCCACCTCTCTGGCACATCAGTATCCATAACTAGTTTGTTATTTAAACAAATTGCCTCTAAATATAAATATCTTACAGCTACTGTATGTTTGCCTATTTCTTCTATATATGTGCATCCAACAAACAGTTCAATGCAAGGAACTACACAAAATCTAAAATATGTTTACATTTAATACATTTAGATTAAACTGTTTAACCTAATTTCAGTATCTATGTAAACATTCAACAGTTTTCACATGTTCTTTTGTAACACAGCTTTCTGTATATTTTATGGATATCTAAGCTTTTGCAGCTGTTCCTGCATTCCTCTTCTGAACCATGTCTGGTCATGATTCACTTTTTTTCTGTTTGCTCATTTCAAAGTAACACCTGCTCCATTTCTAAATAACTTTTTGCTCATATGCATTTTTGTATTTTTATATTTAAACCATTTATTTACAGCTCTAACACTTTAATGTCCTAAATTGTGATTTATCTTAATTATTTACACTGAATTTTAGCTTCAGCCTTGAAAAGCTTAAGTTTTTGTTACTTGTTGTGCAGAGCTCTATAATTGTGAAGTTTCCAGAATTTTTACATTAATCTATCCACATTTTAAACATTTATTACTGATTACCAAATTCTTGCACTTGACATGGCTTAATTCACCCTTTCCTGAACTTCTACAGCAAGCAGAGCTAGTGTTGTCTCTGGTGCGATCTTCTGCAGGTGAAATTTCACTGATCAAATGAATAAGAAAGTAGACTGCTCAACTTTCTAATTACTTATTCTATGTAGTTTCTCTCTGAAAATGTTTTTCTTGTTCATTTTGGAGACCATGAGCAAAATTAGAGATGTCAAAAGGCTTTTATTTTCTATTTGTATTTCTGCTCCAGAAAAATTACACATTTCCAACATTCCTCTGTTTGTCTCTATAACTCTATAACTAGGCTCAGATTTCAGCTATAAATCTTACACTAATTACGAGCAGATGTTTTGCTTCCCTTACCACAAAATATATAAATATATTGTAGCTAGGATTCACTTTTTTCTGTCTGTCTCTCTCTCTACCTTTTCTCACTTGCTGCGATTTGGACACAGAAGAGGACAATTCAGGCAGCCAGAGGGAAGACAGTCTTCCCACTTCTATGACTTAAATGGCAATTAGGAATGGCTTAAGTGACAAACAGAGCCAAGTAGCTCAAAGTTTGAGGTAGCCTATCGTTTAAATTTCGCATTGATGCTGAGAGGTTAAGCTTGTGAAATGTAGCTTCAAAGTCATGTGACTGATTTTTGGTTGGCTGTTTTGTTGGTTAAACTCAATGATCACAAGCACCGCCATGTTAACTGGGATGTGTAGTTTTTACTTCAGTTTGAATTTTAACTGTATGTACAGTACTGTCTGAGTATTTGGCCAGGGCTTTAAACAGATGGAGTGCCAAAAGTGCTGTCTTCTCCGCTTTAAAGGTACCCTCCTCGTGGAAACATTTTCACCTCGAACTTTTGCCCACCAACTAACACGTAGGTACAAACTGAATAACGATACAAAGTATAGTAATATTATCAATTACAAACGCCTAAAAACGTACTTGGAAGACAGAGATCAGAGTAATACACTGTTATATTAAAACTAGCACTCTATGGGCACTACAGGGTGGGGACGCTGACCACTTACCCCCTTTCCTGAAAACTTCACGGGGACAATGTCACATAGCTAATTCACCACTAGATACAAATTTATCTTGCTTTGTGAAATCCAAAATCCAGACATTTGTCAATATATTCACTAAAATTATCCGTCTCAGTAATCTCACCATGTTAATCTCACTGTGTGCCCCAGTGCTCACTCAATCTTCACACTCCCACTATAATACAAAAACCCAAGTTTTCAGGTGCGAAATATCTGTTGTAACTGTTAATACAATAACATATATAATTGCAATTCTCTCACAAATAAAATAATATGCAAACTATATTCACATTAACGACTTTCTAACTGTACATATGAAATAATAATAATAATGTTAATAGAAATAATAATATAATAACACGAATGAAACTCTAGACCAGTGGTTCTCAAACTTTTTGGACCAAGTACCACCCCTAATCCAACCAAAGCATCAAAGTACCACCTACTGTACAAGTCTTCATCTCATAGGAACCCAAGAAATGATCAATGACCAACATGAGCGCATGTGCACACACACTCGCACATACATATAATAAATATTATAATAATAAACTTTGATATATTAAAATGTGGCTTCTCAAAGTGTTTTACAGAAAAAAATATAAAACACCATTTCAGTGAGAGGGGTGAGCCTGTTTAGTTAAGCAAAGCAGATGTGAATAAATTTTTCGAGCCTTGATACAATTCACAACAGTCTAACAGATTTTAAATCGTCAGGCATTTTCTTGACGGCAAAGGTCTCGCGGTGGATGTTGCAATGAAACCATTAATTTCTGGAGCAACCTCTCCAATTCGTGCAACTACACTACTGTGTTGGCTTGTCATTGCTCTAGCACCGTCTGTACAAACTCCGA